GCACAGGAAAAAAGAGCTATTGTTATTTTTCCAATTTTGCAAATAAAGAGAGAATGAAAAAAATATTAACTAACTAATAAGAGTCACATCAGGACTTCAATCAGCATCTTCATTCATTCATTCAGATTTCAAATTTTAGGTTTAATCAGTCTCTTGGGATTCAAAGCAATGCTTTTTTTCATTCAGACTTTAAATCCTAGAGTTAATCAATACTTTTCCTCTCCTTTGAAGAGAAACTTAGGCACCCATTAAGTAAAATAGTTTTATCAATTAACATCTCATAGTGAGCCTTTAATGAGAGCAAAAAAGGAAACAGATTGCCTCATTCCCTGTCCTGTGTTCTTATCGGCAGACCAAACTAGAGCTGATAGGTTGAAAATGTCAGCTTTCAGTTTCTTCCTAATGAAGGGAAATGTCAACAATGCCAGCTTCTGGTCTGTTTATAACAAGATCTAATTCAATATTTGACAACTGCAAAAGGACAAAATGTTTAGGGAAAAATACTGTCAAATTCCTAAATGGTGTCTTAAACACAGAGGGTGAGAATAAAGGAGCAGAAATAGCTCAAGGGTCTTAAAAACTAATTAAAACATTGAATAAAATCAATCTTCCTCAAAAGCCCAGAATGAAACCCCACTGAAGATTTCTTTTTAAGTGAAGTAAAATGCTGTAACATAATAGAGATGTTCAGTAGCAAGCTTGTTAATTACTCATCCCTCCCCTCTAATAAAGACCCTCCCCCATAGCTGCTTCTCTGGGCTCTTTGGCCACCATAGTCCTGGGTCTCTGGGGGAATCACGATCTGATAAACCATTCTCACCAAAGGATCATGAGAATACCTCTCCCTTGTCAGATCTGCTCACCAGAGAATGACTTTCTCTCCTCCCTCTCCAGTGGGAATGATCTTTACCTCAGGAAGATGTTCGCTCTTATTTGCTTCTTTTTTCAGCATCCAGCAAATTAATTCCTGAATTAACAGTCACTGCCGTTACTCTACTGGTACGGCCCTGCTCTTCTTTCCTTTGCCCTGCTCTCCAGCTCTCAGGGTTTCTGAGGTGGCTCTGGCTTCTAGATGCCCTTCGTCTGGTTTCTGACCATGGGTTTGGACTTTTGAAACTTTTGTTTCCGCCACCACTACCAGGAAACATCTTTGAATCACAGGAGACCTGGTGGGTTATACTATTTAGAAAGGAGTTGAAACCTAGTCCTCTATTCTGAAATGGATTTTTATCCCTGTATACCAGTCACTCAAGACCATGTCCCTGTGGAACACCATGCTCTTCTCCACCCAAACCTTACCATGACTTTTGTCCTAACCAGCTCCCGTTCTTTTTCTACGGTAACATCTCCTCTTGAACCTTGGACCTCCAACTCTGATTCCTGGCCTTGCTTCGTTACTGTCAGACTAGTCAGCCCCTTCACAGCCACACTTGAGAATGAATTTTCATCTCCAGCACTCCTGGGCAGAATCAGCCAATGACGTCTAAACCTCCAGTGCCATCCAATATTTATCAATAAACCTGGTTTACTGGTTATCAAACAAACCACTTAAGACGCAGCAATGGCTTCCTCTGTATCAAAGAATTGTGGAACTCACAATGGGTTGATGACTTTTTCTTGTCTATTTACCTATGCCTTCAACCATTAACTATTTTGCTATGCTTCCAAATGGGTGTCCTGAGACCATTTTTTCTGTCTCGTGTGTGATGACTGTTTTCGGTGTCCTTCTCCCCCCATCCCCACCAAGATGTGAGTTGATTCCACCTACATTTACTTCTTATCTAGATTATGTTAGGGGTTCTGTGCTCTGCGCCATAATCACACTCTGTCCAGATCTCCTCTTGGTGGGCCCTCAGCCTTCTTTCACCAAAGTTCTACCAGCATTTATCTGAGGAGAAAACCTCCAGGAATCTGTGAAAGTATTGTCACAGTCCCTTTCCTAGTACCCAAGTTTCAGCAATGTTTACTCTAGCCATGACAACATCACACCAGAATGTGGCAGAACTTAACAGAACTCTCTGCCATCACCTGACTCTCCCCTTCTCTCCTGGAGGAAAGGAATACAGACCCATGGCCCCCACACAGTCAGCTTTGCTTTCTTACTTGAGGCTTTCCAGTTAAAATACCTATTCCAGGGACACCTGGGTGGCTCAGTCAGTTGAGCACCCAACTTCAGCTCAGGTCATGATCTCACTGTTGATGAGCTCGAGCCCCATGTTGGGCTTGGCACTGACCATGCAAAGCCTGCTTGAAATTCTTTCTCTCTCTCTCCCTTCTCTCTGCCCTTCCCCCACTTGTGCTTTCTCTCTCTCAAATAAATAAACTTTTAAAAAAATTATTTAAAAATAAAAATAAATTGGGGCGCCTGGGTGGCGCAGTCGGTTAAGCGTCCGACTTCAGCCAGGTCACAATCTCGCGGTCCGGGAGTTCGAGCCCCGCGTCAGGCTCTGGGCTGATGGCTCAGAGCCTGGAGCCTGTTTCCGATTCTGTGTCTCCCTCTCTCTCTGCCCCTCCCCCGTTCATGCTCTGTCTCTCTCTGTCCCAAAAATAAATAAATGTTGAAAAAAAAATTTTTTTAAAAATAAAAATAAATAAAATACCTGCTCTAGCTCTGCTTTCTTCTTCGCTTCCCTCATCCAGGCCACCACTCCTTTTCCCCCTCTAATTATTGCTAATATTGATACTAGAATGGAAACTCCATGAGGGCAGGGAGGACTATCTTATTCAATTTATTCAGCACTGCATCACCTAGTCCCTGTCCACAGTGGGCACTCAATAAATATTCGTTGAATTGATGGAATAAATATTAAGTTCAGGAGAACAAATGGTCTGACAAGGCTGAGTGTAGTTGAAGAAGAGGTGAGTGACACTTTTTCAGAAAAGGATACCAGCGGAGCAAATGCCATGGCACAGTACTTGCTAAGTCACAATATTTGTAGGGCTTCCCCATAGAGACTTATTTGAATGCAATAGAAATTCTGATAGGGGAGTGGCAGAAAATAAAGAAAAATAAATTCTGGTTGAAACCAAACTTCAGGAGGCATTTGTTCTGCACGTAGAAAAAAAGGGAGTTGGTAAAAAAATGTTTAGGAAAAGCTATCTGGTAGCAGAAGGCCTTCCTGGAATAATTTATACTGTAAATGACAGCGTCATTTTTAAAACCACAGTCCAGAAGACAGCAACATCTTTAACAAAGAGACAAGCTCTCAATAAAGTAATGTGATAAGGGCGCCTGGGTGGCTCAGTCAGCTAAGTGTCCGACTTGAGCTCAGGTCATGATCTCATGGCTTGTGGGTTCGAGCCCCGCGTGGGGCTCTGTGCTGACAGCTCAGAGCCTGGATTCTGTGTCTCCCTCTCTCTCTCTCTCTCTGCCCCTCCCCCACTCGTGTTCTGTCTCTCTCTCTCAAAAAAAAATAAATAAACATTAAAAAAAATTTAAAGTAATGTCATTGATCTTTCAATTCTATTTCTAACTAACACTAAGATGCTATAAAAACCCCAGGCTCTCTAGATTCTAGGCAATAACTAGGGCCTGATGGAAGCAGTGCACTGTGAGGAGATGCTCAAAAGGCCATGCTGGAGCTCAGGACTGGAGGAGTCAGTAGACTTGGTGAAGATTATAGTCTTAGAACTGGAGAGTAGATAAGCATAACAAGCCTGGACAACGTGTACAGATCTGAAAGTCTAGGTAAGAAAATGAGCCCTTACGTGTGGTATTCAGAGGAAGCCCTGAAGGCTTACATTGAAAGAAATGATAGGGGTGCCTGGGTGGCTCAGTCATTTAAGCCTCGGACTCTTGATTTCAGCGCAGGCCATGATCTCACATTGAGATCAAGCCCTGCATCAAGCTCCGCAATGGGCATGGGGCCTGCTTAAGATTATCTCTCTCTCTACCCCTCCCCTGCTCTTGCGTAGAGGTGCACACACAGTCTCTCTCAAAAACAAAACAAAACAAAAACAAAAATGAAAAAAGAAATGATGAAAACTGGAGGCTATATCCAGTTTTCCAGTTTACATATATATAAATTTTGTTTGTTAAGATCACTTCAAATTATTTTTCAAAGAAAGTGGATACATATGGATCACAGTAGCAAAAAAGAGACAAAGCCTAGCTTTGACTCTCTGCGGACGTCTTCTTGGGTGGGTACTCTGCTCCAGATCACGTGGGGCAGGAGGTGAACATCTCAGTCTGATCAGGTTTCTATAACAAAATAACATGGGGCGCCTGCATGGCTCAGTCGGTTAAGCGTCCGACTTAAGCTCAGGTCATGATCTCGAGGTCCATGAGTTTGAGCCCTGCGTCGGGCTCTGGGCTGATGGCTCAGAGCCTGGAGCCTGCTTCTGATTCTGTGTCTCCCTCTTTTTCTGGGCCCGCCCCCCCGTTCCTGCTCCGTCTCTCTCTGTCTCAAAAATAAATAAACATTAAAAAAAATTTTTAAACAAAATAACATACTTTGGGTGGTTTATAAACAAGAGAAATTTAATTCTCACAGCTCTAGAGACTAGGAAGTCCAATCTCACAGCTCTAGAGACTAGGAAGTTCAAGACCAAGGCACTAGCAGATTTGGTGGTGGTGAGACCCTACTTCCAGGTTCACAGACAGCTGTCTTCTTGCTGTGTCCCCACCCAGCAGAGAGGCAAGGGAGCTCTCTGGTGCCTGTTTCATAAGCGCACTAATCCCTTTCCTCAGGGCTTCATCCTCATGATCTAATCACTTCCCAAAGGCCTTACTTGTAGATGGCATCACATTGGGGATGGGTTTCATATGACTTCGGGGGGAGGGGACGCAAACATTCAGTCCATGGCAGTGAGCGTGTGCTCAGAATGAGTCGTATATACAACAGAAAAGATTCAGAAACGAGGCAATCCCTATCTCAATCTTCTAACGTAAAGCAAAAATAAAAAGAAATAAAATGAAAATGAAAAATAGCAATGCATACATTCCCCTTGAGTATAGAGACGAGTAATATTAGAAAAGTGATATACTTTCATTAGCTTACCTCTAATGGAAGTAAGTGGTCTTTGTTGTTTGCTGCTCCAGTTTTCTATTTGTTGTCCGGGGGCAGCACCTGCAGCAAGGCCACACTCAGAGAGGCACTGGTTTTAGTCAAGACTATCGTTCCTCCCTTCAAAGAAATAATCAAGCAATGGTCAGAATGCCAAACGGCAGGGATAAGACCTTTTGGGTTTTTTGGTCTAAGAGTGCTTGGGTAGATCCATCTGGAAATATGTTAAGGAGAAGAGAATGTCCCTTCTTGTTTCTCAGAGAGCCAGCAGAAATTGGGGAAAAAAAAATGAACTTTTGAGAAAGGGAGATTATATGGCATAACTCACTGGAGAGGCTAAGTCCCAGGCCATCTGTTCAGGACGGAAAGCCTCATTCTGGCTGGGCAGTGGTGACCTAGAGTCTCCAAGCTACAGTTTCTGACCCAAAAGTGACCAGGAGACACCTTCCAGTTACGAAATTCTATAGCAACACCCAGCTGTCTGTTGTTTCCATTTCTTCCTCCCACATTTTGGCTTGTTCTTCCATCAGTAGGACCTAGAAAGGAAGAGAAAGAGAGAACTTGGCCTAGATCCTGCTTATGGAATCAGCTGAGCCAGAGCAGGGGAGCAGAAGATTCAGAAGGCCAGAGAGCTCTCCAGGCTGCACTAGACTGCAAGGAAAACTTATCCCGAGTTTCCAGAAGTGGGACACGAAGGAAGAAATTGAGTAAAGAAGGGTCAGTTAGAAGTATAAATGAGACAAAAAAAAAAAAAAAAAAAAAAGAATTACATCATTAGCCAGAAAAGAGGAAGCAGGCCTGAATGACATGTAACCCAAGGCAAACTGGGGCAAGGCTGTGTGTGACCAGCAAGAGAGAACTGGGGTCCGCACTTTGGTCAGGCCAATGTGGGAGCAGACAATATACATCCTGTCCCTCTCCAGCTCCACAAGTTTAGAAGCTAGAGAAGAAAACAGATGTGCCAACTATTTTTCATTTGTTTAACACTGCTCCAAGAATTAAATTTGAACGTTTTACACTAATAGAAATCACCGTATGGACAATAATTCTGGCATATAGAACAGATTTCAAACACACAGTCACAACCCAAATGCACGAATGTGTAACCTTCATCCCTGTAACTGAACCTAACAGAGCTGCGGACCCCTGCTTTCATGAGACCGAGCAGGTTTGCTCCTGATGCATGCAGGGCCCAGGGCAAGAGTGCAAATGAAGGCCCAGCTGGCTTCTGTCTAAACATTTAGAAGTTATAAATCAAACTAGCACACTACTGAATTTTGTTCTATCCTACTACCTTGATAAATATACCCACAAATCCGGAGGGCCAGGTGTACATGTAGAATTCCTCCCAGAAGTTCTACAGGTTGCTGTGGCTGTGTACAGCAATACAGTGACCCGTGGCTAACCTCTTTTTCTTGTTCCACCTGCACTTTGACAGACTGTGGGCACGTACAGGTTGAAGCCCACATGTCCTATTCCATCCACAAAAATAACCATCCTTTGGGCACCTCTCAGCTTAGGGTATAAACTCTAAGCCAAAAAAAGGGAATCAAAAAAGAGGATGTCACAAGCCTTAGAAGCAGGCTCAGAACCATTTGCATGGGGAATAATGCAAACTCCAGTACATGATTTATAAGAGGTGTGCAGGGGTGCATGTCTTAGCCCCAACGGTGGCTCTTCCCATGGGGAGGGAGGGGGACATCCAAAGTTGATCAGAGCATCGACTGTCTTTCCTGGGTCTGAGATCGCTAGATAGCAGTGAGCCCTTGATCTCACTAAGATGATGCCTTCTGATCCAGAAGTTGGTCTATTACAGGTGAGTGCCCAATCAGTTCTCAATTCAGACACAGTCCATTCAAAAATCAAATTCCCTATCAGGACTGTTTTTCTTTCCAAATTGCTCAGCTCAAAATTTCTTCTCCTCACCTCTCCTCTGGGACTGCATCTTGGTACTAGGGAGATTCATGGTAGGGGATATCTAAAGTTTTATCCTATTTTGCTAGCTTCTGCCGGATTCAGATTGAATGTAGGAGATCTTTAAAAAGAGGCTTTTGGGGGCGCCTGGGTGGCGCAGTCGGTTGAGCGTCCGACTTCAGCCAGGTCACGATCTCGTGGTCTGGGGGTTGGAGCCCCGTGTCAGGCTCTGGGCTGATGGCTCGGAGCCTGGAGCCTGTTTCCGATTCTGTGTCTCCCTCTCTCTCTGCCCCTCCCCCGTTCATGCTCTGTCTCTCTCTGTCCCAGAAATAAATAAACATAAAAAAAAAATTTAAAAAGAGGCTTTTGTCCTCACTAGCAACCTTCCTATGGTGTCCACAACTGTCACATCACTGTCACGTCTCTGTCTTGTCTTTTGGCATGAAATGGCTACCCTCCCTTTGACTCAGCTTTATCTAAGTTCCAAGTTCTTGCTAAGTACTAGTCCTGGAGACCCAGTTGCATGCTCTAACTAATCCCTAGTTTTGGTCTGTTTGGCCCCAAACCTCAGAGATGAGTCCCTTTCCTACATTGTGTATATTCTATCTGGGCCTCTAGATTTCAATTCTCATCTACGTACCACTTGTCCCATTTCCCAGACATGCAAGAACATCTGGCTGTCCTCTACACATGTGCAGGTTATGGGGACCTGAAAGTCCCAATCTCATGACCCCAGTCTAACTAACCACATCATACCACCCAGTCACGCTAATAAGCTGCCTCACGTTGGCCCGGGCCCCTCTTCTAGTTTCTGGTAGGCTCCTGCATTCCTTGGCTTACAGATGCATCAGGCCAACCCTCCATCTTCACATGGTGTTCTCCTATGTGTCCTCACAACGTTTTCCTCTCCAAACATATTAGACGAAGCCTAGGGGAGAAAAGTTACAAAATAAGAGAGCTGAATGCAAGATATTCACCATCCATCTAAATGCATTGGAGAAGTAGAGAACTGGTGGGGAGAGGGAGAGAAACAGGGCTCAGTCCACAAGAAGGTCAGCAAAGGGCACGTCCACCTGTCTGACTGGCTGTGTCCTTACCACCTCACACAGTGCCTGCTGATAGTAGGTGCTAAATGAGTATTTGTTGGGTAAAGAAACAAGTAGAAAGTCCATAGTTGCAAGGATACCCTGTGCCACATTTGTCCTCCACCCATCTCTGGGGACTTCCCTGCAACTCAAGACAGCTCTGCTGTCCACTTTTTAGCCAGCACAATGGCAAAAGAAGTTAAAATAAATATTATACAGTAAATGGAGATGCAGGGGCTGGGGTCCTCACTAGGGAGATTTTTCTTGCCTCTAGAATGACATTTAAGTGAATTTTTATACACAAACGAATAAATTGTGACTATCTAGTAAACATAATTGAGTAATTGCTAGCTTGTCTTTTCAGAGAATAGTAATAGATATATCCTTTAACAGATTTCTTACTTGCTTACACACCTTTAGCCTTTGCTTCTTGGGAACCAAAATTTTAATCAGGCACACCCTGAAAACTATCCCCTGGCTTCTCTGACATAAAATTCATCTTGGTCTGATGAATATTTTCTTCCAGTTTTATTTAAGAAATTCCCTAGAAGTTATGGATATCTAATCAAAATCTGAGAAACTAAATTAAAGAAACCAATTCTGTAAACTGTGCCGAGTCTAAGAAATTAACTTTGTGGGGCTGAAATAACTCTTTGAAAGACACTTGCTCCAGTAAATATATGTATGTCTAGCTCTTACACACATTCAAATAAATTTTCTCAATTGAGGTAGCATCAAGAGCCCAGATAATTTCACCTTAACTAACAATACAGTGAATTAAATATAGCGACAAAAAAATGCATTAAGGCTAATACGTATACTAAAATAGTGAAAAGAGAATTTTATCTGAAGATCGTCTTTCGGTTTATATTTTCAAGTGGAAAATACAATGGGATTCTTATATAACCACGGCTGAATTTTCCTACCTGAGAAAATGTATCAGAATGATTGGCGGCAAAAAGACGACCCATAGATCAAATCTTTAGAAACACCCTATCTTTTCAATTTGGAATTATTGTAGAAATCTAACCCAGAATGAGACTCCTGTTGCTGTAATGCTAACGGGAGCCTAAAATAAACAAAAGTGCAGTTGGCACAGGTTATTGTTTGTGTTGTACTGCCATCTCCTGGAAAGAAAGGTAAATTGTTTTAAGAGACAGCATTGAGAAAAGGTCAAAATCCTGGGCTTTGCGAAGGAGGTTTTGACTCCTTAAGTAATGCACCCTGCAAATGAAGACAAATAACCTCCAGGCCAATGTTCAAAGTGTCCCAAGTTGAAAAAAGACGTAATAAATCTCGATTGTAAAATCATCAGGTAGCCACACTGTGGCATTATTTACAGGTTAATAGAGTGGCAAAATCTTTCTGATTATCTCCTCTCACAGAGCTCTCCTGAAAGAACAGGAGGACAGAGAAAAGGTAGATCCCAGAGATAAATAGCTGGCCGGAAAGGTGGAAAACAGGATTGGGAATCAAAAGGCTTGAGTTCATTGATTTGCCTTGTGAATAACAAGAGGTTATGCAAGCCCCAGGGGGTGCAGTTAGTACACTTTGATCTAGAACTCCAGCATGGTAAGAGAAAATAGATGCCTTGTCTCTGCTCTCTCTGTCTGACTGCTGATGAAGACACAAACATAAACACCTACCAACATGATGATTCATCCTAAAGTGGGTACTTGTGCAAACTACTTGGAGTTAATCCAAGTAAATCCAAGTAAATCCTTGGCCAAGAAAATCTGAGTAAAGCTCTGGGAGGCACCTTGAAAGATCAGCACCCAGAGAGGAAGGTGGTGAGAGAGTTCTGGAAAGCAAGAACAAAGGACTTCTTGGGAAATGACACTGTGCAAAAAGCACTAGGGAGAAACGGATGGGAAACAGGAGGGGAGGGCTCTGGTCAGTCGTGAAGGGCCAAGGGGAGCCATCACAGGCTTTAAGCATGGCCAGACCCCAGGTTGGTCACTCCCTTAATTTGTATTCTTGGAAAATTACTTCTTTGGACCTGCTCGATAAAACACGACAGTATTGACCTTGATGGTTGCACTGAGGTGCAATTCTGAGCGCAAAAAAAGTCTAAAGTGAGATGAGGTTGTCTTTCAAAAAACTTTCACCTCTGAGTATATACATATCAGAGGAAATGTTAATATACCCCATCTCCCCAACATTAGAACCCACAAGAAAAACCCAAGCCAAGATTTAAAAAATTACATATCACCTTTACAAAAATGCCTTTTGTCATTTGTTGAGCCAGTTAATGCCTTAAACATTTAGCTTTTTTAAGGTTTATTTATTTATTTCGAGGGAAAGAGAATACAAGCAGGGAAGAGGCAGAGAGAGAGAATCCCAACCTGACTCTGAGCTGCCAGCGCAGAGCCCAACATGGGGTTCCATCTCACAAACCATGAGATCGCGACCTGAGCCGAAATCAAAACAGTCGATGCTTAACCAAGTGAGCCACCCAGGCGCCCTGATGTTTAGCTTTTGTTGACTTTAGTCCTCACAATGATCTTTTCGCTAAAACTTAACTGCATTTAACTGAGGAGAAAATGGCGGCTCATGGAAGTTGAGTAACTTGCTCAAGGTCACCACTTACTTAAGTGGCAGCAGTGAGATGTGCATCGAGATCTGTCTGACACCACTCCACCACAGCAGTGTGGCTCTCAGATGCCTATTTACCTGTAATACAAAATCAGATGTTTCAAAGAACAAAGTGGGAATTGTGGGAAGTTAATTACTTACTCCCAGGTCTTCAACAAGATGAAACTGGGATTTTCAACAGACATAGAGTGAAGTTCCACCAATGTGCATTTCCTTTATCGCTAGCTGGCTAAAATATTTTAAGTTGGACCATCCTAATGCTTTTGAGACTCTAAAGGGCTTTCTAGTTTAACATTTTTTACTATCTCTACCAGTAACAAACTCTGATTTAAAGGTCTGTATCTGTGATAAAGCTTAAATTACCACCATTCTCTAAGCTGCAAAGAAGTGTAACTATACAGGTTCAAAAACGCCTCTCCCAAGAGTCTACATTTGCTGAGCAGAACTAACCTTGGTCCAGTCCACAGGAAGCTGGCTTCCTCAGTCAGTGCATAACTCAGGCCCAGGATTGGAAAAGTACCCCTCCCTGACATACTTCCATCCTGTCAGTTCTGTTGGTTAGAGTGGAACTTTGGGCCTTGTTTCCATGGAAACAATACCTTATTACATGGGGTGCCTGCGTGGCTCAGTCAGTTAAGCATCTGACTCTTGATTTCAGCTTGGGTCATGATCTCAAGGTTCGTGGGATCAAAGCCAGCATCAGGCTTTACGGTGACAGCACAGAGCCTGCTTGGGAGTCTCTCTCTCCCTTTCTCTCTGTCCCTCCCCTGCTCTTTCTCTCTCTCTCTCTCAAAATAAATAAACTTAAAAAATAAAATAAAATAAATTGAAACCATACCTTCAAGGAGACAGGATAAGATCAGCCTTAGCTGGGATTGTTAAGGAAGTACTTCCTCCTCATTATTCCCCTCCCACATCCTACTTCTTCATTCCCACACCTACCAAATAACCACCTATACTTTGGCTGATGAAACCCCAAATGTTCCGTGAAGAACCCAGCCTGTGCCACTCATCTATTACTTCAGTATGAGGTCATCTTTCTCCTCATCCATGAAAATTTCCATTCCTTTAATAAGATAACACTAAACAGGGTATTTGATGTTACATTTTTTTGTTTAAATCAATTCAGACTAAAATATGCATCTCTAAAGGAACCTTTTGCTTTCTAGAACGTGGATGCTTAGTCATCCAAACGAATCTTTCTGAGCACATCTGGAGGCATAGAGAGGATATGCATGTTTCCATAGGTATTTTCTCAAGGATGCCAATGTGTTTTTTTCAGATACTGCCAAAGGAAATGCCATAACGTTATTCCAAATAATATTCAAAATACAATTGATATTATTAATAACGGTGCCTTACATTTGTCTGGCATTTACAGGTTACAAAGTAATTTCATGTGTATTATAATATCCACTTTACACAAGAGGAAACAGGTAACTAATGTCCTGCTCGAAGTCACATGGTCAACAAGATATTGAAGCAGAAGCAAAATCAAGAACTTGTAACTCTAAGCTTTTTTTCATTCATCAGAAATGCTATTTAACAAATGTTCTAAAGGGAAAGCCGGAGAATCTGATGTGAAATGTGTCACTCAAAACCAGGAAAAGAGGAAAATGGGCTGTACCCAAAGTCACCTTCTAACCATCTTGGCATCCTGTGTGCTTAGTTCAGGACCTTTCTATTCCAAGTAAGCAAAACTCAGCTCAGGCCAGCCTCAGTAGAAAGGGGACTCCATGGACTCACATAACCCAGTTGTAGGAAGGACAAGGACCTCACTTCCACAATGGCTGGACCTGGGCCTTAAACACCATCTGGACTCATTTCTGTCTCTGGTCTCAGCTTCTCTCATCTGTGTGGCTCCATTTTCCCAGGCCACCAGACAGCAGAGAAAGGTGGCCATAGATAGTATTTGTCTCACCACCTTACAAAAGACTTGACTCGTCCTAGCCTGAATCATGGTTGCTCTGCCCCAATCATTGCCTCCAGGGTGGATTGGCAGCCCCATAGAGCCACGTGTGTGTGTGTGTGTGTGTGTGTGTGTGTGTGTTGGGGTGTTACCCATTAGGCCTGGGGTGTGCTTGTGGGCAGATACAATAACAAATATCTGTTATGCCTGGATAATCAGACTCTAAGCTGGATATTGTGTACAGGTTTGTCAATAGGTCAATTTTTTTTTTTTATTAAAATGCCCGATATTTTCTCTTCTTCATATCTGGATTTCTTAGGTTCATAGTCTGTGGGAAAATTGTGATGTAAGGGAGAAATTATAACCATTTGTCATTCAAAGATACTGCTGTCAGTAGATACCAGAGAACCAGTAAGTTGAAGAGAAACTCGAGAAGGCATCTTTTCTTGTCACCCATTTGTGTTCCAGACAGGATAGGCTAAGGATGCCAGAGTTGATGAAATCTGCCATCGTAACCTGAGAATCACTTTAGACAGCACCCTTCGTCCTGGCTTTCATCCCCTGGCTCCTCTTTCCCTCACACTTGAGCCCCATCAAGTTTAGTAAGAAGGACTGAGTTGAGCAGGTACCATCATTTACAACTAGTGTGACTGTAGGTCATCATTCTCTCCCCTGAGGAAAAGCTCTAATACTCATCCCCATTCAGTAGTAACAGAACATCAAAAAGAACTTTTCCCGATATCTTGGAATTAGAGTTAAAGCCTCAAAACTGGAGGTTTTTTTTTTTTATTATCAGTGGATAACAAAAACTTGTTCTTGCTACAGAGAGATGCTAAATATCTATGAGAAAGGGGAGGAGTCTGCTCTTCCAGCCCCCAATTTAAAAGAAAAGGACCCCAGGGAAGCCCTTGAAGGCATGGAGGAGAGGAATTACCCTCCATTTAGATCCTGCTGGGTTATAGAAAAGCATCTGTCCATTCTGGGTTACCTCTGGATTGGAGAGTAAAAGTGTTTCCAAGAGAGCGTCATCCGGCCCGGAAGCACAGAGGCACAGGTAAAGACAGACTGGTGTCTGGTCTTGTGTGGAGCAGTGTGATGGCTGGAGCGCAGAGGGAGCTGCCCATGACAGCATGATACGAATGGACAAGCGAAGGAGAGGCCTGTGCTTTGGCTACTTCTGCCATTTGTCAGGACGAGGATAAGGAGATTTCCCATAGGTCAAGTAGGTAAAGAACCAGGCTTGAAATTCCTTTGAACCACACTATCCAGGGGAACTGCCTGCCCAGGAAAGAAAGAGATGGGTTGCACTTCCAAAGCAGGAGTTAAGAGAGGTGGTCCCAAGAGATCAGCCTGGTATCATAAGAGCACACTTGTCTGAGTGGGTAACACCCCCCTACAGGCACACACGCATGAACACACACGCACACAAACATGCATGTGCACCTCAGGGAGGGCCAGTGTTTGGGCATCTACCATGACAGAAGACACCCAACAACAAACCAAGTACCAGCCGGCCGGGGCCATTGGCCTTTTTCCTCTGATCGCTCCTTGTCCAACCTGGGAAAGCCAGAAGCAAAGTGAAGAGAGAAGGTAAAACAAGGAGAATGAAAAGATAATGCTCTCTACCTTCTTCATGGCTTGTTCCAGAACCACCAATGAGATGTGTTTAGAGGGGGAAGAAAGGAGGAGCTTTGAATTGGATGAAAAATTAAAGTTTTTACATCTGATTGAATGAGATTTTGTGTGTGTGTGTATGTGTACCTGAAGAAGAAACTGCTCTTCTGCCTGAATTCTCCTAGAGCCAAAGATCTGGGACCTGCTCAAGATGTCACAGACAGGATGATGACCTGGCAAAACGTGCTTGAAAGCAGTGATGGGAGAGTAAATAAAGCAGTTTCCTGATTGTTCACACCAAGTTCGCACTGATCGATAAGCTGTCTGTGCTGCATTTCATCTTTAATTATGTAGTGAAAGGGTTTTCTCTTGGTAAAGGAATTTATAGCAGACTGAGCATGTGGGAGAAAGATTGATTACTCACAAAATAATATGTGACGACAGCTACTTCACATAACCTGGTGCTAGAAACTCCAGCTGGGGAATCTTGATGCTTGATTTGGACCTTGAGGGACTAAGGGATCTTGAAAAGGTGGATGGAAAAGATGAAGCCGGTCCAGCTGTAGGCAATATCATGAGTAGAGCCGTGGAGATAGGTCCAGGCAAAGATGAATTACCCAGTTAGACCCCAGTGTTACCTCCACGGGGAGTTGTTGTCAGTGTTAAAACCAAAATCATAGTGTAGAGTCCACCTATGGTATGTATAAATCTAATCTTAAAACTTTAGATTTTATTCTTTAAATAAAACCCATAGGAGGTTTTTGAGCAGCAGACTACATGATCCTATCTGTGTTTTTAGGAAAATAACTCTGGCAACAGGGTAGAGACTCCAGGATATTTGGAGTGGAAACAAACTGAAGGTACTTAGATTGGTTAAGAGTGTAATGAGACACAAAATTATTTCTGTGGCTCTAGAAATGGGACAAATGAGCGTAAGAGAGAAATTAGAGATCAAGTAGACAGAACGGATCATGACTTCCCTTCATAGACTTGTCTCCATGAATGTATGATTCCATTAATATATGACATCCACAGAAATCACCTCTTTCCCTGAGGAAGCTTAGGACCTCAGGGGACCAGCTATGCTCTGTTGACACCCCAAAGCTCAGCTAGGCTAATGGTGAGTCAACTCTACTGGGTAATGAGGACTTGGCAGTTGCGGCCACTGTTCCCTCAGGAGTAGTAGGGTCACCTCTCCTGCCTGGCAATGCCAAGGGCAGAAACAACTGTCTCCCTCCTCCAGCCCCCAGAAGAACTGGAGAGGATCTCTATTCCAGCTCCTGGTTACCAGGTAGACAGTAGGAGGCTGCCCCCACTTTGGTGCTTCACAGCCCTTCAGTACTTCTCCAATGATGGACAGAAAAGGGAAATTGTTGGAATGAATGTTGCTTGTGATAAATCTTTCCTCACCTGGAGAAATTCTTGTGATGACCACAACCAGAAAAGAGCATGATCTCACAAGCTGTCGGTTTCCATTTCCCTGTTCACACTCAGTGAAACTCCTCAGTGGATATTCTTGTGGGGACTGGGGAAGTTTCCTAAGTAGTCTTCCAAAATAAAACTCTGACTTCATGCTGTGCCCTCTCCAAAGCCTGATTATATCAGCCTGTGTTTGGGGAATGACTGTCAGTTACCCTTGCTTCCTAGGAGCTGTGGCAGTTAGATCAAATTGGATACAGAAGCCCAGACATCCTGAAGAGAAGAGAAATCAATGTAAATAAGTGTAATTTCTAAATAAAATATGCTTTTACCTAATTGAAAAGTCATTATCAATTAGTCAAATACAATTTTAATCAGACATGAATGATTGAGGAATTCTATATTCAGAGGAAGAACATGGGTTGGCATTTTTAAAACCCTCATGTCTCATGCCATTAACCTTGAAACCCTTTTACCAGGTAACTGAGGTGTGAGTTTTAATTCCCAGTATCAAACCAAGAATAAAATTATTTTAATTATGGTCAACTGGGTAAGGAACATTGATGGTCTAATTGCTAAGCGGTAATTCTGTATTCTGTCCCTGGGAGACAACACCTGAGCCAAATGCTTCAATAATTCATTAAAGCACTTCCCTGTGCATCAATTAGCAAATCATGTGCCTTGATTACTTTACTTAGGGAAAGTTACCCTTGTGAAAAAGACTTTTACCAATCATCAAAACATGAAAAAAAAAACCCTCTAATCTATCCTACGTTTGATTTTCATAGGAAGAATATAAAATCTTACAATGGCTCTATTATCTAGGGTGCAAATGCCAAAAGCAATCTGCAAGATAATTACAAGGGGTGCAGCCTGACCAACTTTATGCACAATTGGGAGGTAGGTAGGCTTGGGGTTCCTACCTTTCTCATTTTTGTTTTTGGCAATAGTTTAATGAATTGTTTCAAGTTCCTTTAAACATCAAAACATTTCTGATTCAGGATCACATTTGTATCATCTCTATGTCCCCATGTT